GTGGCCAGCCCCTCCAAGCCAGACTTCATTTTGCTGGCATTGTTGATGACATCAGCAACGCACACGATGGACTCTAAGGCCTTCAGGATTTTGTCCTTGTCCTTCTCCTTCTCCTTGTTGTCTGGCAGGGCCTTCTGGCCCTGGCTCTTGTCATTGCTAAAGCCACCAGTTTCCACATTGTACCTCAAGAACGTCGACTGCCAGTCCTCCATTGCATCTGGATCATCAGAAGTCACTTTCTTCACTCCCTGGGATTGCTGTCTTTTTTTTGAGTTGGTTTCCTTCTTGTGCACATCATGGTTGTCAATGTAGATTGTCACATCCTTTGCCCTTGGATGTTTCTTTTCTACAATGTCACCACATTCCACCAGAGCATCTATCTCTTCAGCAGAGTACCTCTTCAGAAGGGAGGTGTAGGACTCTTCTTTGATTGTCTTGACAAACTCCTGATTGTTCTGGATCTTCTGCACTGCCTCCTGCCAGCCATCACCAAAGGTGGGGTCCAGCAGCCATGAAATTGCACACTGCCTTTTGGCATGATTCTTGCCTTCACCCCTTGCCACATTGGATGCAGCTTCCCATACCTTCTTGCCCCCCACATTCTTGGAAATGGCAGTCTTGAGGCGACCATTGACTGCAGACCATTCTGCATTGCTCAGAGCAGGCCCTTCTGAGGCAACAGACTCATCATCAGCAGCCTTAAGATTTGGTCTTAAAAGTTGACCAGTCCCTTCCATATTTGCAAGCACCAGTCAGGCCACAAAGTTCTCATTGCAGTGCAATTGCCAGGCTTTGGAGCAGGCTTTGGGGCAGTCACAGGTGTACCAGGCTTGCTTCACCTACACATTTGCATTATTTGGTTGAACAAGTCACCACAGGTTAGACTGAACAGCTCAGACCCATTGACTGGAAAGTCAGCTAGCATCATGGGCTACAGTTGCGTGCAACTTGCATGTATTTGCTGCTGAACATGGCCATGCCCATAGGCTTTGCAGCCTTCCAAGCTTGACTTTGCAGTCATTTCTAACCCACCCACCCTTCCTGACTTTTCAGTCACACATGCCACAACCACCTAGCACATGACCATGTTCCTTGCCAACACTGGTGCATGCCCCACATCCTGCCCACAATACACAAGCCAGCCCATTTTACTAGAGCCTCCCAGCCCGCCCGCCCCAACCCAGCAGCAGCCATGTGCCTTTTACCAGCTGTGCACATGCTCCACAACCGTCCATTATGATACAGCCCTTTTGCCAAGGCCATTCCCATTGCCCTTTTTCAAGCTAGTTTACATCCATGCTTCAGTCAATTTGCATGGCGTCTTTCTCCTCAGATTGGCTCTCTTCTGTGCCAACCTTTATGGCTGCAGCCTTCACAATCTCCTTCATGGCCTCGTCCTTTTTCTCCATGGCCACCATGGGCAGTGAGTGAAAAGCAGAGCCCTGATCACAAAACCATCATTGAGTTGATCAGACAGGAGAAGCCCAAGAACAAGAAATTGGCAGGTACTTCTTCACAGCACCCCTGATGGTCGCCTTCCTTGAAGCATCCCTGGCAAGCTTGAGGGATCTGCTGGCCATGGCTCACTCACCAGAAGGATGAAACAAAACAGTTGGCAGCCGTGCCAAATATATGCTGCAGCAAACAAACCTTTGTGGCACACAGCAAGCACACAACCTAATGAGTCCTCAATTTCAAATGTGCAGCATCTGCAAAAACTGTTGGAAGGAACATCACACAATACTGTGTCAATCAACAAATTCTGCCTGTCTTGCTTCATGTTTGGTGCCTGTGTGTGCTGCCATTGCATTTGACAATCTGCAATCCTATCCTTAAGCTTTGCATTTGACAATCTGCTCAAGCTTGTGTTGCTCTGGCCCTTTTTGCAATCCTGCGTGGACTTTTCAGTCCACCCCTGACCCCGTTGGACTTTGCAGTCCTTCCTTGGACTTTGCAGTCCTTCCTTGGACTTTGCAGTCCTTCCTTGGACTTTGCAGTCCCAAGTATAGGAACCCCAAGAACAAACACAATGCAACTTCCTCATCACATGAAAACATGTAAAAATATCAATATTTAAATATCAATATTTTCTTGGAAATCTTAATATCATTTTTTTCGAGCGAGCAAGATGGGAAAAACCAATATTTGTAAATTACCGAGCGAGGATTGGTTTCCTTTTTGAAAACCGAGCGATATTGGTAAAAACCAATACCCGAGACTTGGGGACACGCAAAAGAGTAGTTGAAAGAGAGGAGGCTGGAAGCAGGACGAGGTTGCAACACGTCAGCGCTGCGTCGTTTTCAGTTGAGCCTGCCGGCACTTCACAGTCAGCTATTTCAATCTTTGGGACTGAAAGCGAGCGGCATTCCAGAATGGCTCCGCGCTAGCCGCAAAACCAAACCAGCCTTCCTTCACATCTTGGACAAGCACAAGCACTCAACCCTGCCACTTTACTCGCAAAGCGCCTCCTGCGCATTACTTGCAGTGCCCCCTTCGTCTTGCAAAACATCAGCTCCAGACACCACCGGCTGACACAACGAATCAAGAGTTGATCAGACTGCCAGAGCCAAACCCAGCTGGCACACCTCCAAAAAAAGTACGCCGCGTCTTTCTCCTAGCGCAGTGCCGCAAACACGCACACACCCACACAGGCCAAGTTTGAGCTCCCTGTATACTCCGCCGGGCCCTTGCTGCTGCGTTGTGTGCAACTTCTCCGACTCCATGAATGCCACAAGAACGGGACGCCCTGGCTCTCAAGCTGAAGCTGGTCCTCGCCTTGCTTCAAAAGCATTATGCCCATTTGGGAATCCCAGCCTTACTCATCAACCTTCTCCTTGCGACAAGGCAGGACATATGTGTGACCCCAATGCCCAAGTTGCAGGCTGCCCATCCCACAGACAAGTTGTGGACTGCCAGCTTCCAGTGCGCGCAGCGTTTTGCACCCTCCCAGGTCGCACCTTCTTGCCATCGGTGGCGCGAAGGATCTGCTATGCTTTTGTGCCGAGCTGAGTGAGCGAAAGGCCAGAAAGCTGCTGCTGCAGGCGCAAGCAAAGTACAACGATGGCCGCTCCAGCTTTACAACCGAATGTGCCAAAGGGATGAGAAGCATGTCCACCAATACCAAGTGCGACCAAGGTCATTTGCTGGTCAAGATTTGCCAGCAGGGCATGATCAATTGGGATGCTAGCAAGTAGTTCCCTTTGCAAGACCATTTTCTTAAGACTGTTTGGGAAGGGGAGCAAACATCTCAGGACCGGGTTGCGCCTCGCATCATCCAGCTGGAAGACGGCCCCTGGCGGTTTGACCCGGCAGCCGTTCTGACATGGCCTGACATAGGCGATTTAGAGCAGTCCCGTTTGACTCCTATTGGTAACCTCGGGCAAGAACGGGAGTCACCCTCTGCCTCTGGATCTATGTCGTCTGACTGAGCAGAAGAGGAAGAGCGTCAGGAGATTCCAGACCCCAAATCCGGGTCAGTCGGTGTTGAAAGCAGTTGAGGATAATGTCCCGAGATGCTCAAACTGTGGGAATTGTTTGGCAGGACATGGGTGGACGTAGTGCCCTTCTGGATAAGCCCGCGTCTGCTGCAGTGTGCGAGGCATCCTCGTGCAAGCTCTTGCAAGTGATGAGTGCGTTGATAGGAGGTGCTTCATATGGAAGGGCCAGGAGGAAGGTCGACGAGTTTCGACTAAACCTGTCCACCTTTGGCAGAAAGCTGCTGAGGCTGACAGGCTACGAAAATTCGGGGTAGAAGCTCCGCAGTAAGAAAAGAGTTAGTGCTCCCCGAGCGTTTCCTTCGTAGTGCTCCCCGCCCTGTTTTCCAAAGTGCTCCCATTAGTGCTTCACGTAGTGCTCCCCGAGTTCTCCACGTAGTGCTCCCCGTAGTGCGACCGTGGTGCTCTCGTAGTGCTCGCCCGTGCTCCCTGTAATCCAACTTCCCGTGGCGTAGTTCTCCATGTAGTAGTGCCCCCTCGTCGTGCTGCCCGTGCGACTCCCAGTAATCCATGTAGTGCTCTCCGTAGTGTGAGTGTAGTGCTCCCGTACTGCTCCCCGTACTGCTCCTTGTACTGCTCCTTGCTTTCCCGTAGTGCTCCCCAATTCGTGGAGTTCTCCACGTAGTGCGCCCTGTAGTTCTCCCCCGTACTGCTCCCGTACTGCTCCCCGTACTGCTCCCCGTAATCCAAAGTGCTTCCTGCTCCCCGTAGTTCTGCACATCTGAGACACCGCGGCTGATGCAACATGAAGACATGGGGGCAGAACCGCATCAAAGCATACAAAACTACCGTACTGCTCCTCGAAATCCCAAGTACTCCCTCGTACTGCTGCCCGAAATCAAGCTCCTCCGCCGTAATCCACAGTGGTCCCCAGTAGTGGCTTGCATGTGCCAGTGAGCTTGATTCCATGACTGTCCCTGATTGCCCTTGATATCCCGAACCCAGCAATCCTGCGTACCCAACTCACCGTACCTTTCTCAGGTTCCATGTTGATTGGCGGGAGGGTAGTCCCAACCGTAGGCGGGCAAATCCGCAATTTTAATTCATTAGGCTTTGGGACCATCTTAGACCGATTTGGTTTTGACTCCGTTGTCCCCATGATTTAGGGCTTGAGGATGTGTAGGAGGCCCCTCCTGCAGTTTTTCACGGGTGTTAAGCTGCTTTTCATTCAGACGGGCGTCGCAATGAGCTGTCATAGCTAGACAGTTGTTGTTCGCTTTTTGCGGTTGAGTTTGGCTTCGCCGACGTGCAGATGAAGTTTGGGCACTGACACTTTGCTTATAGTTTCACTATGGGATTTGCCCGGCGTCTTGTAGGAAGAACTGACCAACCCGGGCCCAAGCCGAATTTTGCACAAAGAGACTTGAACTTTGGACCTTTGAACTTGAACTTTTTGGGAAATCAAGGGGTTTTCCACTAAGCCCCCAGAAAGTTAAACTTTTTGTGGGGGTTCAACAGCAACCAAGGAGAACCGCCGGAGCTGGGGACGGCGCCGAGTTTCGCCAGGCGACTGTGGCCTTCCAAAAGCTCCACGGGCGCCTCACGCTGCGCGCCTTGCGCGCCTTGCGCGCCTTGCCCTCGGGCCGCGTCCTGCCGCCCAACGTGGGGCGCCTCGGACCCAGACGTTTTCGCTTGACTCTGGCGCGCGTCGTTGGCCAAAACTGGCGCGGCAGTCGGGACGCAGTCCGTTTGGCGTCGCCGTCGAAGGAAGAAACAATTTGTCGTGCCAGGCGGGAACTTGGCAAGTCCTCAGCTGTTGGTTCTGCCTGACCTGTCAGAAGAAAACATGTTTCAATACATTCTTAACGCATCTACAGGGGAAGAGTGCATTCCGATGGTGCAGCTTGACTCATTGCCCCAAAAAGCCTTGGTGGAGAAATTGAGGTATGTCTGCAGCGGATGAACAATCTCAAAAGGCTTAAACGGAATTTGCACTTGCATCAAGATTACCCTTATGTGTATATCGATAGCTACACACATAGGCATTTGTCCTTCTTCTTGTTTTTGGTGTGTGTGCATGGTGTTTCAATACATGTTCTCCCTACATTAGATTCGGGTGGGTGCATGGTGTTTCAATACAGGTTCTCCCTACAGTAGATTTCAGGTGGCAGGGACTTCGGCCTTGCCACCTGGAACCTAATGTAGGGAGAACATGTATTGAAACACCATGCACCCACCCGACTTCGGCCGCCCACCTAAAATGTAATTTAGGGAGAACATGTATTGAAACACCATCACCCACCCGACTGCGGCCTGCCACCTGAAATCTAATGTAGGGAGAACATGTGTTGAAACACCATGCACCCACCCGACTTCGGCCTGCCACCTGCAACCTAATGTAGGGAGAACATGCATTGACACACCATGCGCCCACCCGACTTCGGCCTGGCACCTGAAATCTAATGTAGGGAGAACATGTATTGAAGCACCATGCACCCACCCGACTTCGGCCGCCCACCTAAAATCAAATTTAGGGAGAACATGTATTGAAACACCATCACCCACCCGACTGCGGCCTGCCACCTGAAATCTAATGTAGGGAGAACATGTATTGAAACACCATGCACCCACCCGACATCGGGGGTGGGCGCGGGGTTTTTGAATACATGTTCTCCCTACATTAGATTTCAGGTGGCAGGCCGAAGTCGTGTGAGTGCATGGTGTTTCAATACATGTTCTCCCTACATTAGATTTCAGGTGGCAGGCCGAAGTCGGGTGGTTGCATGGTGTTTCAATACATGTTCTCCCTACATTAGATTTCAGGTGGCAGGCCGAAGTCCGGTGGGTGCATGTTGTTTCAACACATGTTCTCCCTACATTAGATTTCAGGTGGCAGGCCGAAGTCGGGTGGGCGCATGGTGTTTCAATACATGTTCTCCCTAAATTAGATTTTAGGTGGCAGGCCGAAGTCGGGTGGGTGCATGGTGTTTCAATACATGTTCTCCCTACATTAGATTTCAGGTGGCAGGCCGAAGTCGGGTGGGTGCATGGTGTTTCAATACAAGTTCTCCCTACATGAGATTTCAGGTGGCAGGCCGAAGTCGGGTGGGTGCATGGTGTTTCAATACATGTTCTCCCTACATTAGATTTCAGGTGGCAGGCCGAAGTCGGGTGGGTGCATGGTGTTTCAACACATGTTCTCCCTACATTAGATTTCAGGTGGCAGGCCGAAGTCGGGTGGGTGCATGGTGTTTCAATACATGTTCTCCCTACATTAGATTTCAGGTGGCAGGCCGAAGTCGGGTGGGTGCATGGTGTTTCAATACAAGTTCTCCCTACATTAGATTTCAGGTGGCAGGCCGAAGTCGGGTGGGTGCATGGTGTTTCAACACATTCTCCCATTAGAGTTTGCAGTGGCAGGCCGAAGTCGGGTGGGTGCATGGTGTTTCAACACATGTTCTCCCTACATTAGGTTGCAGGTGGCAGGCCGAAGTCGGGTGGGTGCATGGTGTTTCAACACAGTTCTCCCTACCAGGTGGCAGCCGAAGTCGGGTGGGTGCATGGTGTTTCAACACATGTTCTCCCTACATTAGGTTGCAGGTGGCAGGCCGAAGTCGGTGGGGGTGCATGGTGTTTCAACACATGTTCTCCCTACATTAGGTTGCAGGTGGCAGGCCGAAGTCGGGTGGGTGCATGGTGTTTCAACACATGTTCTCCCTACATTAGATTTCAGGTGGCAGGGGGCAGTCGGGTGGGTGCATGGTGTTTCAACACATGTTCTCCCTACATTAGGTTGCAGGTGGCAGGCCGAAGTCGGGTGGGTGCATGGTGTTTCAACACATGTTCTCCCTACATTAGGTTGCAGGTGGCAGGCCGAAGTCGGGTGGGTGCATGGTGTTTCAATACATGTTCTCCCTACATTAGGTTGCAGGTGGCAGGCCGAAGTCGGGTGGGTGCATGATGTTTCAACACATGTTCTCCCTACATTAAGTTGCAGGTGGCAGGCCGAAGTCGGGTGGGTGCATGGTGTTTCAACACATGTTCTCCCTACATTAGATTTCAGGTGGCAGGCCGCAGTCGGGTGGGTGCTTGGTGTTTTAACACATGTTCTCCCTACATTAGATTTCAGGTGTCAGGCCGAAGTCGGGTATTGGCGATAGGTCCGTTGGCTACCCCGGTGTTTGCCAAGGAGCCACTGCACCCGTGAACTTCTGCAGGACTCTTGGCCTTGGTTGATTTCCCCAGCTGGAAGCACCAGATGGGGTCGATAGGCCCACATATGCGCTGCTTGGTGCTTTGGGGCAGCTTTCAGGGAGGGTTCGAAAGGAGGGTTCCAAAAGGTTCCGGGGCTGCTGGGGATATCACCGTTTTTTTTCAGTGCTGCCGCCTCGTGCAGCAGCGGTATGGCGCTCCTTTCAAGGGGACAACAATGGGTTTGGCACAAATTGTCGTGAGTTCCGGGCCCAGTGCTGGGCATTCAAACCAGTTTCTATTTGGTCGGAATTGAGCCCAGATTTGATGAAGCCCAACGCAAAGGGCAAGCCAGTGAACGACATGTTTCTTTGTGGCAGCGACCATGTCGTTTTTCTTAAACGTGGCAGCACCCGGTTCACTACATGTTTCGTTTTGAAATGTGGCAGCACCCATGTTTTGGCAAGCGCCTTTTCTCTGAAACACGTTTGTTTGAACGAGGCAGCACCCGTGTTTGGGGAAATGCCTCACATTTTCGACACACGCTTCTTTTTGAAACGTGGCATCGAACAATCAGACGAAACAGATTTTGTCACATCGGATCCCTACGTACCGCGACCATATCACGTCGGAGCCCTACGTGCGTCAAACTAGCGAAGGTGCAACATCCAACCGGAAAGAGGGCACATGCAAGCCGCTAGATCACGAACCGGTGAACAGCACGAACACGCTTCTCAGGCGTGCTTTTTCGGAGAGGGGTCGGCAAACCTACGAGTTCCGAAGTCAAGCTTCAGGGGTACGAGGGGCCATGGCTTGGGAGGTTTCGTTCACCGAGATCCTGGGAATTTGGAAGGGGCACATAGCGCTGGATCGTCTGTGTAAAAGTTGTGAGTGCTACAAATTGTGGGCAGAAGTTCACATTCAAGCTCGCAAGCTGCTGCGAGTTCTGTACTTCGCCCACTGCGCCTGCGCTTTCCGCGCTCCAGCTACGGGATTTGATGGTGAAACTTGGGTCAAGAGTTGGGCCCAGGGCATGCAAGGGGCGGAAGGCGAGTGACGGATCTGGTCGCTTCTCATGCAACTCGTGCGCGCGAAAAGAAAAAAAACACGCAGATGATGGGAGCCTGGATGCAGACAGAGATTTCCCGAATGGACGCGAAACGCAGAGTCCACGCCTGGTGCCCAAAGTTTGTCTTCTCCGGGCTTTGTTGTTGGCTTACCTGGCAGCTTTGACAGAGATCGATGCCGGCTGACTCTGTGCATTTGGCCTGCGGTGTTTTGCTGGGCGTACGCGGCAAAGCAAACGCCACCAACGCCCATACTGTGGATGGGCGAAATCCATTTCGCGCCACCTGAGAAACCCTGGAATGTTTCGATTTCCTTGTGCATACCAGCAAGCGCTATGGTTTCAACCATGGTTTCAGTTCGTGGTGCGAAATGGATTTCGTCCGTCCACAGTACTTGACGCACTTCGTTTCCTGGTCCCTGCAGCTGTGTTTGCAACAAAACGAACGTAGTCCGGTTTTTCATGTCACGTCTCCTTGGGACTTGGGGGCGGGATCCTCCTGTGAATACCAACTGACGTTAGGGTTTCAACCATGGTTGCTAAGGTGGTGCGTTTTATGGATTTCGCAACCAATCATAGGAGCTCCGCCTTGGCCCCTGCGTCGCGGGCTCCGCGGCCTGGGCGCCGTGGGCGCCGTGGGCGCCGTGGGCGCGGCGCTCTGCGCGGCTTTGGTGGCCGCGGGGCGCGGACGGGGAGCTGTCGGCGCAGCTGGTGGTGGCCTGGCTGGGGGCGGCCCTGCAAATCCCGGCGGTGCAGGCAGAAGAACCGCATGGCTTGAAATGTGAAGACAGAGGGGGGGAAACAAAGACAAACTCGCATTTTTTTTTGGAAAAGGGAAAAATGGTGGTTCTCCCTTTGACATTTATAGGCAACATGGGTACTCCACGGTGTCTTTTGGTTGAGGGTAATGTTGACCCCTGATTAATCAACCCCTGTTTGTTACTTTAGGGGGTGTTCCCCTCCAAAAGTTTTCCCCCCTCCCCCTATGAGTAAACTGGGGGTGGGGTCAACAGGACCCCATCTGCAGCACCCCGTTGCTGTCGAGGTCTCCAGGTGCCAGGGTCACCACCGCGGTCTCCCGGGAACGCCCGCGCTGCTTTCCTCGGTGCGGGCGGAGCACGACCGAAGCGCCCATGCGGAGCGGCAGGCGCTGCCACGCGGCGGACGGCGGAAGGACGAGATGTTTTCCCGGGGATTTGAGGCCCAACGTCCATGTGCTGAAATGAACAGGTTATATTTTCCCCTGTTGGTTTTAAAGGGAATCTATCGCTTCTGGACATTTTTTCGTTTTCAGGGGTTTAATAAGCAAGCGTAGGTTTTCTTTTTCGGTTTGGTTAGAAATAGATGGCACTGGGTTATTTTTTGCATAGGACGCCTATGCCAGCGATTCGAGGCCCAAAGTTGGGGCAAAAGATGCTTTCCAAGCTGCTCGATTTGTTTGAACCGTTTCGAAACCAATCCTGTCAACAACTTGGCCTGAAATGACCTCAGTCACAAAGAAGCTCCTTTGATCAGTGGACAGTCACTGATTAGTACAGGGGGATCCCTCAAGAACAATTTACTCTGAAACACTTTCTTGAATTTTCTACCCTTTGATTCATCGCTGGCCAGCAGGGATTTCTTCGACCGACGAAGTGCTGCGCCTGCGCTTCATGCATATCATCATCGTTTGGATTAAGCACGAAAACATGCATGTAAGTGTCCACACCCTTTGCAGCAACATGTGCTTCTACCGGATTTGTTTCTGCGGCTTCGGAGCTAATGAGGGTTGGCGTTCGATTTGGGGGCAGACAGCTCGATGGCCCAGTGGCCCATTGGTCCAAGGCTGTCGCTCCTCGCTCGCTTCATGCCAACGCGGACAAAAATGGAGCTCGCTTGCTGAAACTGGCGGGTCAGATGGCCCTTCTTTGATGTTTTGATGCATGACGAGCAGCTCTCGCTATATACATCAACAAGTTACCTTGGTCCGGATATGTCCGGATGGAATGGACAACTCAAGGTCAGCAATGTGCAGATCGATTGTTCGGCCGCCTGACCGAGTGTTTGGGATGCTTTGAGTCGTTGAGGTCATGTACACTCAGGACATACGGCCCTTGCAAGCGGCAAGCCGAAGGACTCCAACTGATCCCATATCCCTCGTTGCGTGGGAAAAAGCCGAGCCCTGCCTTTGCTCTTCGTTCGATCTTACCTTTTCTTCCTTTTGTTGGAACAGACGGTCCCTAAAAGAGGTTGACTGTTTGCAGCCGGCCCAGCCCAGCAGCTGCATTCAGAGAGCGGCAAACATTCATCCAGGTTTGTCTCGTGGAACTGTGCCCCCAGCAAGCATGTGACACCAGTGAACCACAGTGAATCTGCAAGCTGTTTGTGAAGTGCCGGTTCATCAACTTTTTGAGTCGTGTAGCAAGACTCAGCTGAGAGTAAACTGTTCGCAGTCATTGAACCAACAACAATGCATCATGTAAAATATGGGAACATGAAAGGCGGGTGAAAGCAAGACGGCTTCCTGTTTTTGCTTCGGTAGCAGTGCATTGTTCGTGTTGGCGTGCACCGGGTTCCAATACGAGGTCGCAAGCGGCTGGTACAAGCGCTGCTGATTGTAGATGCGAAAGGTGCGGGGCTCTGTGCACTCCGTTTCATTTCACGACTCGGCTGGGCCTTGTGACAGCTTCACCGGCATGAAGCTTCAATGTAACCTGGGCTCTGGAAGCCATCGGATTGCCTGGGGCATAATCTCCTTTGGACCAGTTGATGTGAGCCACAATCAAAAGCTGGCAGATGAAGGTTAGTCAGAATCCCAACCATAAATGGGTGCCTTTCGCCTTGCTAATTGTTTACCTGTTTCTGGGGATCGATCAGTTTGAAGAAAGTTCGGCTTTGATTCTGACTCAAGTGTCATAGAGAGAAGAAATCACTTGGAATACAGCTCAACCTCAAAATCAGGTACTGGAGTGTGATAGCGTGAAGAAATCACTCGGAATACAGCCCAGCCTCAAAATCAGGTACTCGAGTGTGATAGAGTGAAGAGATCACTTGGAATACAGCCCAACCTCAAAATCAAGTACTCGAGTGTGACAGAGTGAAGAAATCACTTGAAATACAGCCCAACCTCAAAATCAGGTACTCGAGTTTGATAAAGCAAAGAAATCGCTTGGAATACAGCCCAACCTCAAAATCAGGTACTCCAAATCACGTACTCGAGTGTGACAGGGTGAAGAAATCACTTGGAATACAGCTCAACCTCAAAATCAGGTACTGGAGTGTGATAGCGTGAAGAAATCACTCGGAATACAGCCCAGCCTCAAAATCAGGTACTCGAGTGTGATAGAGTGAAGAGATCACTTGGAATACAGCCCAACCTCAAAATCAAGTACTCGAGTGTGACAGAGTGAAGAAATCACTTGAAATACAGCCCAACCTCAAAATCAGGTACTCGAGTTTGATAAAGCAAAGAAATCGCTTGGAATACAGCCCAACCTCAAAATCAGGTACTCCAAATCACGTACTCGAGTGTGACAGGGTGAAGAAATCACTTGGAATACAGCCCAGCCTCAAAATCAGGTACTCGAGTGTGACAGAGTGAAGAAATCACTGCGAATACAGCCCAACCTCAAAATCAGGTACTCGAGTGTGATAGAGTGAAGAGATCACTTGGAATACAGCCCAACCTCAAAATCAAGTACTCGAGTGTGACAGAGTGAAGAAATCACTTGAAATACAGCCCAATCTCAAAATCAGGTACTCGAGTTTGATAAAGCAAAGAAATCGCTTGGAATACAGCCCAACCTCAAAATCAGGTACTCGAGTGTGATAGAGTGAAGAAATCACTTGGAATACAGCCCAACCTCAAAATCAGGTACTCGACTGTGATAGAGTGAAGAAATCACTTGCAATACAGCCCAGCCTCAAAATCAGGTACTTGAGTGTGATAGAGTGAAGAAAACACTTGGAATACAGCCCAACCTCAAAATCAGGTACTCGAGTGTGATACAGTGAAGAGATCACTTGGAATACAGCCCAACCTCAAAATCAGGTACTCCAAATCACGTACTCGAGTGTGACAGGGTGAAGAAATCACTTGGAATACAGCCCAGCCTCAAAATCAGGTACTCGAGTGTGATAGAGTGAAGAATTCACTTGGAATACAGCCCAACCTCAAAATCAGATACTCGGGTTTGATAAAGTGAAGAAATCACTTGGAATACAGCCCAACCTCAAAATTTTGGTGAAGGCGGATGCTTTTGACCCCTTGGTATGGCGGCGAACTCGCCTGGTGACATGTTCACCGTTGCGATGGATTGATCGATTGCCAGGCCTGAGCATGCAGCTGCTGCGCCAGCGCAGCTTGCTCAAAGAGATCCTGCCTCCCGGCGTTTCTTTTGGATGCGCCTTTTTTTTTTCTCGCTTGGATGCGCTTTTTTTTCCCCGTTTTTTTTTTTTTTTTCTCTCCGGGTGGTGAGGGGCATGGGGCCATGGGGCAGGTCTGTTGTTTTTTAGACACCCCGAAATGGCGACGTTGTTGTTTGCTTTCTGCTCGGCTTTGGAACCCCCCACCCCGATACCGAAATGAAAAGACACCCAGGATGGCCCGATACTCAAAAGCAAAAACACCGGCTAACAGGGCACTTGCTTTTCGGGCGTTGCCGCAACCCCCCCCTTCTTCCCTTTCCGGGGCCTGAGTTCTGAAGGGTGAATCGGGGTGTCTTCCAAAGTTTCCCTTGCAAACAAAAAGGTGGCCTCAAAGAAAGGCAACCCCACGCCTCTAAACTCATCTTGGGCAATGGAACAATCAGTTGAGCACCCAAGCTTGCAACACCTATATCACTTCGAAGTTTGTATGAACAGGCGTGGCCTCCCCTATGAATAAAGAATGAACCTGACTCTTGCAGGGCTGCCGGATCTTCCCCAAACAAGAGCGACGGAGTGCCTGAACCAGTCAGGCGTTAGCGCGCTCCCGTCGCATTTTTGCCAAACTGGAAATAAACAAGCATGTCAGCACTTCTTCCTATTTTTCAACCTACCCCTAATACTAAAACTCCCCCGAGCCGCGGCAAAGACTCGGGAATACTAAATTTAAATTGGCAAATCCTAAACCAATACTAAACTCCTGAGACTACACATGCTTTCCTCCGAGCTCCCAAAATATGCTTATCAGGGGTCCCCCCTCCAGAGTGTGTTTTCGAGCCCGAGCTCCGGGAGTACGAGTCCTGTACTAGGCTTGTACTACAAAGTTTGCTAGGCTTCTAAAAGGTGCAATCTGAGCAGTTTTTGCTCCAAATTCAAGGAGATCCACTTTCCAATGCAAGTCCAATACTAAACAGCAAACTATCAACTGGATCTAGCTTGATGGTTGTTTCTCGGCTGGCACTTGAACCCAGCACTCCGCAACCATGCGGTACTGTAGCCAGACCTGAATCCGCGAACGCAACGACAGCGCCTGCATCGAAGCCAGCCCTTTTCCAGACGCTGGCGCGCAAAGCCGGTTCCTCAGAGCCTGAGACGAGGCCTGGACGCCGCGCTGCATGCGCAAGTCATACGAAGCGACGACCCGCAGCATAGCTCCAACACCTGGCCAAGATGCCAAGCAAGCTTGAACCCAACCCTTTTTGCACATGGGCTCATTGATGAGACTTGGGCTGATCGTGCGATCGGCGGCCTACCATGCGCGTTCAAAGCTGAGCCTTTGGCGACGCCAGTGGCATGGAACCCACGAGGCAAGATCCCAAAGACGAAAAGTGTAAGGGAGTCCCCTGGAAGCTTTAAGCGTCCATGGGTCCCTGTTCTGACAGGAGAAAAGGCGTTCTTCATATTTTCATCAATTACCTTCAGGTAGGAACCCTTTTTCCGGAAGCCACGGCAACGAACGGATCTCAACGCTAGCTCGTCCCCTTGCTGCAAGGCCAACCTATGATTGGCCCGACACGAAAAATACTTGAAATCCGCAACTCAAAATCAGGTTCAGAGTTTGCACTATGCGAAGAAAGGCGGAACAAGTTGTTTGTTTTTTTGTGTTTGTCATTTTTTTTTGTTTCTGGTTTTTTCTCTTGGCGCTAGGTTGAACAGGCCTTGTGGCCACAGTGAGCTCTCCCTGCCCCGTGCGCAACTCAGGCTGATGGGCAAGGATAATTTCCCGGAGGCCTTCCATTCTGCGGTTTCTCGCGAGTCCAGGGCGCATTGGATTCCCTTTGATTTATTCTTCTTCTTCGTCTTTGTGTCTTCTTCTTCTTCTTCTTCTTCTTCTTTTTCGTCTTCTGCTTCTTCTTCGCCTTCTTCTTCTTCTTCCTCGTCTTTCTTGTTCTTTCTTTCTTTTGTTTCCTTTCTCATGTGAGGACTCTTCCATGGCCCTTCTCATTTCCAGCAAGCGGGGATGGGTGCAAACATGCTCGAGTTGCTGTTTGGGTCTCAGCTTCTTTTGGCCCCCAGCCGCTGCTTCGGTGTCGAAACTGCGAATTGTGTTTCTTTTGGGCCCCTCTTTTATGTTTGAGTTGCCCAGTGGCGCCCCTTGTTCCCCTCTTTTTGGGAAGGGTTCCCTTTAAACTCAACCAAACACTCACTTCAATTGGGGGGGGGGGTCTTGAGCAATGTGGCGGGGAGCCAAGCAAAAAAGGATGCATTTTTGTTTGCCATGGACATCCCCTCGGCACAGTCGCTGAGAGGCACTCATCCCACCGATTCCCACCACTTCCCCGGCTGCACCTTTGCCACTTTCCCGCAGTTACCCCAGGAAGAAACGTTGGTCCAAAAACGGGTGTCCTTTTTTTCCACGCAGTCACTCGGCAAGTTTCCAAGATGCGCTTCGCTGGTGCAGTGAAGTTGGCTTTTAGGACAGCTGGAGACCTCTCAGTTGGACATGACGTGTTGTTTGGAAATCACCTCATGCCCACTGTGAATTCCCACATGTGTATATATATATATATATATATATATTCATGTACATCTATGTCTATATATATATATGGATCTTCACCACGGGTCCCTTGAAGTTCATGCCCATTTGAACCCGGTTTTCAAGAAGGAGCGACGCATGCATGTGCCTGGCACTTCGGTCGCGTCAGGCATTTCACACGGGGGGGAGGGCCCCATCAGGCTTTCAGCTTGACCACAGCTCCCAAAAGAAAGTTTGTGAAGCAAAGACCTTTAAAGATGTGAACCTGCCCTCCCACCCAAAGTTCCCCATACTTCAGTGGCAAACATGGCCCAAAAACGCAGGCCAAACGCCCATGTACGCCTCTTGGTCTCGCTCAAAGACTACCTAATCCAAGGGATGATGCGGGGATCGCGGGTGCTTTGGAACCTGCGGCCCCCAGCTGACGCTTCAGATGCGGTTTACGGCGATAAACGGACCCTTTGTTGAGGCGTGTTTTCGAGGTGAGTTGGAACAGGGCTCCTGGAAAGATCTCCATTTTGCCACCATTTGAAACATGTGGCTTTTTCAACACCAAAATAAAGGGAAGCCACCATTTACAAGTTGCAATGCTCAGGTGTATGTAAGGATCGTGTTTAATGTAAGGATCCCTGTTGAAGTCTCGGCCGTTTCTCGAGGCAGCAGGCCCAAAATGACGGTGAGTTTTTTGTGGTTGTTGCGGAGCTCGCAGATTTTTGGGTGGGGGGGGGGCACAAGCCAGTCTTCGCTCGCGTTGTGTATGGAAATGATCCTTGGGAAGTTTGTTGGTTATTTGCTGCAATTGCCTTGGAATGAGACTGTCGAAGAACTGGCGGGGGGGGAGGGCGGGGGGACGCTCACCAACTTTGCTGGATGGATATAAATCAAACATATTTCTAATCTATCTATCTATCTATCCATCCATCCATCTATCTATCCATGCATCTATCCATCCATCCATCCATCCATCCATCCATCCATCTATCTATCCATCCATCCATCTATCTATCTATCTATCTATCTATCTATCTATCTATCTATGTATATATAGACAGACCGGATGAATAGATCAAATTGGCAGATGCTTAGATTTATCGATGAATGGACTGATGGCTAGATAGAAGGCTTGATAGAGAGCCTGTGAAACCACACATGGAAACAAGCAATCTGAGATAAACAGGCAGATAGAACGAAAGACGCACAGGTAGAGAACAGATAGGAAGTAGATAGGCAGCAAGCAGCTGGGAATATAGATAGATTGACCGATGGGCGGGTCGACAGATTCTATCTCAGATAGGTGAGATGAGATGAGATGAGATTAGATCACATGAGAAAATGATGAGTAAGATAGACGCTGTAGGTTGGCAGACGGCCAGGTAGCTAGACAGAAATATGTAGACAGACAGACTGGCAGGAGGAAAGAAAGACAGACAGCCAGACAGAAAGAAAGAAGGAAGGAAGGAAGGAAGAAAGAAAGAGAGAAAGAAAGAAAAAAAGACAAAGAAATAAAAAAAAACAAAACAAGAGGAAACACATGAAGAACCGGAAAAGGCAAAACACAGAACGACATAACTCAGGAAGAAAGAAAGACAGAGAGATGTACAGGTAGCTCGAAAAACAGAAGCTTCTCAGAGCGCAAGTAGCGCGCGAAGTACACTTTCCGAGCTCCAGATCGACTGCAAAGCTTTCAGTGCGATAGTAGTGGGCCATGCGCGCTTGCCGAGCCGCAAATCGAAACGCAGCCATTCTCAGTACTAAAGTGTGCGAATCGCAATTTCTTCGGCTCCGGTTCCAAACAAGTTGCAATTTTTCGTTGCGCGCAACGTGCGGTCAAACTCAAAGGTTGGTTCAAAGATAGGAAGCCATGACTAAGTAGACAGACAGATAGATAGAGAAGCGGGTAGATAGGTAGACAAAAAGGGAGAAAAACACATCGAGCAGCAAGATAGATAGACAGATAGATAGAGAGACAAACCTGTAGGGGGGGGGCGGATACGTGGATAGATGTACAGAGGCATTGATGGACATACAGGCGAGATAGACAGATAAGTAGACAACAGATGGATACACGGACAGGATACCAGGTCAATAAGCAGGTAACGCATGGACAGGCAACATACGCAGATGGGTCCATGCCACGGTTGCTACACATATTTGTGCCTTGGGCTTCGTGGTGGACCCGGACCTCGGGGACTCTCAAAAAAACTGAAGAAAGGGAGCCGAGCCGCTTCGGTGAGTGAGTCGCGGAGTCGCGGAGTCGCGGGCGGCTCAGGGAGCGGAAGGTGCGGATTTTGGGGGAAGACTTCCAGCGGGGCTTGTGGGAGCAGGGCATCGAGCCGGAGGCCTTGCCCGCCTTCCTGGGAGGCGCGCACGTCGCGTTCGCACGTCGGCCGTTGCGTCGCGCGTCGGCCGTGTCGTTGGATCCCCGGGGTCGGCTGAAGCGGCGGGGGTTTTGGTTTTCGAGGCGGGAGCGGGGAGCGGGCGAACGGTTGCGCGGTTCGTTCGAGCTGCTTTCCTTTTTTCTTGGCAGGCATGTGACGGGGACTGTGTCTCACTTTTGGGGGAGCACCCTTTGCTGGGGGACACGAGTGTGACAGGTGCTGGGCTCAGCAAACAGTGCGACGCATCGCCATGTGTTGCGCCCTGAAAGCCCAGCGATGCGACGATCATTTGGTATTCCCGTAACTAGGCTTCGGGTGGGTTTAGGCTTGGCTCAGGGCCTAGGGTTGGTTTGGGGTTAGGTTGGTTTAGGGTCGGCTTAGTATGCAAGCAATATATCATACCTCAATGACGGTTTGCTTGCTGCCTGTGCCGTACGGCTTGTGAAGCACAGAGGTTTTAGGCCACAACTAGAGAACCTTGGGACAATGGGCATTTCGCACTAGCTACTAGAAGGGGTGCCCATCAACGGCTTGCCTGGTGTGGTGATTATGCCAAAAGGGAATTGCCACACCATGACCCGAGTGGATGGAAGCTAGCTTTAGGTTCTACTTGCGTAAACAAGCGGGCTGAATCCCCACATTGATTCTATCAATAATTTGTCCTGAAAGAGTCAAATTAGCTAATCATTTGCCGCCCCTCCCCCCAAAAGCCCCTCCTCGGCAAGAAGTGGATGTATCAACAGCCTTTTTTTTGGGATTCGTGTAAGCAAGTGTATGGGGTGAAGACTTGACTTGTTATTCTGATCAAACATTTAGGTGGAGCCCATGCGTAGAAAAAACAGTCCCTTTCTCAAGTTGCTAGTGCTGGTCGACGTGCCGGGTTATGCGGCAAATCCGGTTTCACAACCCCCCTCTTCCACTTTCGCCGCTTGCGGGACCCACTCTGCGAAGCTGAAAGCCAGTCGTGATCCGCGTGAGGCAAGAGCAGTGACCATGGCCTCGGAGAGGCACGGCAGCTGCCGCAGAAAGCTGTTTGATCACTTCGTGGGGCGCCGAGTCGCACGACTTGAAGGCGCTATCGAAGGCATAGCTGAGTCCAAGAGCATGGCATGTGCGGAGCAAGCAGCCCCGCTGGCCCTTGTCAGCGTCTGGCCTTGGTCCGTGGTTTTTCCGGCGAATGCGTCTAGCTGAGTCTAGCTTGCTCCGGAGCCTCAGGCTTTCGCATCCAGCGAGTGCTCCGGCAATTTGGGCAATTTGGGCAATTTGTATAGCAGACGGTTTCCAGCAATTTGGTTGGACAGGATTCGTTCATGTTGAGCCCAGATTCCTCGTACGAGGGATCCGTTCGAGCCATGTTCAATTTGGCTGGTGACACCAGCCGCCTGTGGGAGCATTGATGACTCTTCAGAGCGAGAGGAGCGACCAAAAAAAAATCGGCGCTGGGCTTAGAAAGGAGTTCGGCTTCGGGCGCTCTGACTGGAGGTAAAGCTTCGGAGCGAGACGGAATGTGTGCCGCAATGTTGCCCCACATTAATCAAACCCAGTTTACTGATGGGGTGGTCCCTGGGTTCAGTGGGGAATCATCACTTTTGGAGGGCAACACCCCCCCACGAATAAACTGAGGTTGATTATGGGGTCAACATTGTTCCCATCAGGTGGATCAGCGTTGCGCGGACAAGTGCGGCGTGCCCAGCGCAACGCTGCAGGCCAGCAAAACGGGTCCAGCACGATTTAGGCGGCGTTGATTTAGGTGGAAAGACAGGCGCCAAGTTGGGCAGGCTTTGATTTAGGTGGAAAGACATAATTTTCCTTTAACAACCCATACATACCTATATATATATATATATGTATGTATCGATTTGCTCATAAGCCCGCACACACACACACATACATATATATATATATCTATCTATCTATCTATATATATATATAGATATATATGTATACATAATGCTCATAAACCCATGCATATATAGACATGTCTTTTGCCTCAGGGGCCGACCCAGGGGTCCGAGAACTGAGCCCTGGCAGGCCTTCCTTCGGCGAGCGCAGGCGTCCGGGGCTCCAAGCAGTCTGGCATTTGTCCCCCAATTTGGCCGTGGGTCAGAAAAATGCTGTGGCTGTGGCTGCGGCAGTGGCTGTGGTTGGCACATTGTTTGCAGAATCCACTTGTTTGCTGGTGAGGGGGTCTCAGTTGTTCGGAAGTTTGAGAGACGCTGATATTTGGCTGTGGGTCAAAAAAATGGTAACCCCACAACGGGTTGCCCGATCGGTAAATCGGTAAATGGAAACATGGACCAACACCTGCGGGCCAATTCCTGGTGGTTTAATTTTGACCCATACCCATTTGGCCCGGGCAATCAATCAGGTCATGGTGCATCGGTCGTTTTGTGTTTAGCTTTGGAAGGCACATTTCAGCTGATACGTTCGGTACTGACGGCCCAAAGTTGTGGCAGATGTGTTTTGACCCGTGCTGCGCCGGCCAGTCAACTCGCCCGGAGGCAAAATACAAGCTTTGCCGAAGTGACAAGGCCCTCAACAAGACGCAAGGGAACGAGTGGATTCCCTTGTGACGTTGTACAGTCCAAAATATTTGTTGCGATAGGCTTGCGCAACCTGCGTCTTCATTTTAGATTCTATAGCTTGCTGGCTCCCGTGCGACCACAGCAAGCCTTGCGCCGCAAACGATTCCGAAACACCCTGCAGACATTCCCTCAACAGAGCTTTCCAGACGTAATGACGTATACTCCAGCGTATATGTTGTCCCCTTAGAACCAATGAGGCAGGAAGGTTGCTTAGATTTGCGCACACTTTCGCACTCCTCTTGTCCCATGGCGATGGCACAGGCGCGGACAACGAGATAGCATGCTGATCCAAGAGGAACATGTTTCTCTGTGATTCCGTTTTTGCGTTTTGGCAGAGGACGCGGTGATGGATGAGGTGTTTTTGTTTCTTTTAGGTCTGGTTCCCTGACTGGCTGGCTGGCTGGCTGGCTGCTTGTTTCTTGGTTGGTTGGTCGGTTCGGTCGGTCAGTCGGTTGATTGGTTGGACAAGCAGTGATACACGGCAAAGGGGCTTGGGAAAATTTGAGGAATTTCCACAAATGCAAAGATGTGGTAAAAGGTTCCTGGCATCGGCTTTTGGGTTGCCACATGTCTGGTTTTTGGACGGCCTTTGTAGCATCTCCCGGCGTTTGCCGGGTTGAGGGGTTCCCATCGCGGGCCGACGTTTTTGGACCCAACCGACTTTGCACGCGCTGCTTCTCACAGGACTTGCTGGCAGGAGCGGTGTTGCCTCGCCGGATCTGCTCTGGCTATTTGGCTCAGTGTGCATGTACGGCCAGATTCGGCCAATGATCATGGCGCAAGATCTGCCAAAGCAGATTGATGGCGTGCTTATCAAGCACCAGGAGGAGCCTGGTGATGTAGGTGAAAGGGGGGAGGCCCAGGGATCCAAAGCCCCAAGCCACCAATGCAAACTGCCAATCAAGAGAAGCTTGAGTTGAGCTAAGAGCTTGAGCACTTCGTCTGCGCACGGCCCAGGGCACAAAAGGTGGCCGCACGCATGAAGCGCCGCACGGCCTCCGCCCAAGTTTTGACCATCGCGCGAACGCCCCACCCCCCAAATCGTCTGGCATGTGAATGTGAACTGCAAGGCCGTGGTTGTCCCTCATTTTGGCCCGTCTCTTAGGCGGGTAATTGGGAAATCCCCAAACCACCAAATTCAAACCAGCAGTTAAACAGTTAGTGGCAAGGTGATTCGCGGCGGCGCTGTCGGGCTTCTGGGAAGGATTCGGCCGAGTGCTGACAACAAGCCCTAGTCTTGATTCAGGTATGCAGGTGTGGTTGGCACATTGTTTGCAGAATCCACTTGTTTGCTGGTGAGGGGGTCTGAGTTGTTCGGAAGTTGAGCGAGTCTGGTTTTGAGGGACACTGATATTTGGGTGTGGGTCAAAAATAGGCACCCAAAATGGAACCCTGCTAAATGGAGACAAGGACTAAACTCCTGCGGTCCAATTCCCGGTGGTTTAATTTTCACCCATACCCATTTATCGCCCCAACTCCCTTCCCGCATGGCGCCTTCTTGTTTCTCTCTTCTTCTTCCCGCCCTCTGCGAAAAAAACACCGCAGCCCAGTCGCAAAAGTGCTGCGGAATCATTCAGAATTCGGCCGGCGAGCACTGCGATCCAGGCGAGAACCCGAAAGCCGGGCAAAAACAGAACGCACTTCCTGGTGTCA